GAATTTTGAACCCAGAAAAATTCAGTTAATGTTGGACTTAATAAAAGATGGAATTTTTGTAGAATTTCACTAATGACCCTGTACTCATGCTATAAATGAAACTTCACTGCATAGCTAACCTTTCGGGCTCGCAATACAACACTAGCGTTTTAGATTGTTAGTGGTTGGGAGGAGTCATCCACTTATTTTTCTTTTGGCAGAACATTTGAAAATGAAATTCTTGTGCTACTTGTGTGTACTGCCATCTGCTAGCCATCATGCTTCATAGAGCAGGCAGGTTTTTGTGCTGGTCTGTATCACTGTGTGAGAGGGGTGTCGTGATGCTGCTGACAGTAATAATCTCTGGCATTGTCCGCTTCAACCCTGCTGATGGTGAATGTGAAGTCCGTGCCTGACCCACTGCCGCTGAACCGGTCTGGGATCCCAGAGGGACGGGTCGATGTATTATAGATAAGGAGCTTAGGAGCGTGTCCTGATTTCTGTTGGTACCAGGCCATGTAGCTATAAGCGCTGGAACTGGCTTTGCAGCGGATAGTGACTGTGTCTCCTGGAGATACTGCCAGGGATTCTGGAGTCTGAGTCAGTACGATCTGTCCCCTGGAGTCTGGAGAGAGAATAAAATTTTCCGATTCTGGAGTCTGAGTCAGTACGATCTGTCCACTGGAGTCTGGAGAGAGAGAATAAAAATTTGCAGGTCTGGTGTTGGATAAATGGGACAATGACATTGACATTATTCAAATCTCCACATTGAAACACTAGTAAAGCAAGCAGTAGAAATAAACTAAAAAATATACCTGGATACAGCATATCACAATACAAACCACGGGCATCTGTCTTATAATTTACCACATTTCTTACCAACATTTTTGGCACCTGTCTGTTCTTACCCTGAATCCAGAAAAGCAGCAGGCAAAGGAGGGGAGCCTTTGAGATCATTTTGCTGTAGTTGGAAATGCTTATCAGTAAGGCATGGGGTGGAAATAGAACCATTTATGTGTTCAGCAGCTCAGTGAGGGACCATTAGCCATGTGTGAATAGGCAAAAAGAGCCTAATTATGTAAATGAGCAGATGTGCAAGGCCAGGCAGGAGTTTTGAGATAGGAGACCTGATGATTTCTTATGGTGATTGGGTGCAATAACTATCACATATTTGCATGATTTGAATGGTAAAACAGCCAGATTAACTTTACAGGCCAGGGAGGTGACAACGGCTGCTTGTTAGTGATGGGGAACCAAGCAAGTAGCAAGTTGACACTCAAATAAGAAGCCAAAATCATTCAGTCATTTCCTGTGTGGGGTTTAACTGCAGTCTGCCTCATCTCTTTTAGTGACCCCAATGTCATTATTTATGGGATTAGATTTTCAAGACAGCAATGGTGCTGGTGGCTGCATGGTTCTCTGCATTGGCCCCAGCAGCTGCCGGCATTCCACTCCCCTAGCGTGATGGCTGTTCTCAAAGGCTTGAAGGGCGCAGGCAGGCATGACAAAAGTGAGGTCTGGGGAGAGAGCCCTAAGGTCTGAGCATGCTCAGCTTTGCGGTGTAAGCTGCACAGACCCGAAATGAAAAGTGGAGTCTGTGTGCCAGACTCCAGCGCTGCCCATTGTGTCTGGGCTACTTCACTCTCTACTTCGGTCACATGTCGGCATCAAGGGTGTGGGGGTGAATAGAGCAGGAGGCCTGCAAACTTCCTAACCTCCACTGGGGTTACCACTCTGCGCAGCTACTGGCTCTTCTAGCTGGGTGTGGCCAGTCCAGCCATCACTAGCTGAGTTAACCCCTATTTGATTGTTTCTGCTGACTTTTACTAGTCAGATCCAGTCTGAAAGTGACAATGCACCACCCCTTTCTGGAGAAAGTAGTCAGTACATTTCAGTGTGATCCCTCCTACTTCCCTGACCCTCCTCTGGTATATCTGCACCACCCCTTTCTGGAGAAAGTAGTCAGTACACTTCAGTGTAACTCCTCCCACTTCCCTGCCCCTCCTCTGGTATATCTCATCATCATCAACAACCATGGGCTCAATGCCCGTTGGTGTCCAATGCCTCCTTCACTATTTCCTTCCATCTTTCCCTGTCCAGTGTGGCTTAATTTCTGTAGGCTAGCTCTGCACCAATCTACTATATCATCTACCCATTCTCTGTGGGGCCTCTGCCTCTCCTATTCGGACCATCCATTATGCTGAATACCAGGGTCTTAACTTTTCCCTCATCATCCATTCAGCAGATATGCCCAAATAGCTGTAACTTCCATTCTATAACCTTCTACAGTAGGTTCTCTTTTGGCTGTATCTTCCTGTATAATCCCTTGTTGGTGACCTTCTGCATCCATCCTATTCTCAGGATCTTTCTATAACAACTCCTCTTGAATGCCAATATCCTTCTCTTCAAATCTTTCATTATCACCCATGTCTCACATCCATACAACATGCTGCTAAATACACATGTTTCCCTAGCCCTTATGAAAATCCTGTGTGTGCATAATACCTGCTTCTGCCCTAGAGTTCATGTGCTTTTGGAGATTTGCTCCCATTACAGACCTTTGTGAATCTGGCCTCTAATGTATGTACTCTAACAGAGCACAAAAGCAACTAATCTTAACAGTGCCCTTTAAAAATTGGATAATGATTCAGAGACTTTCAGCTGGGATTTATTATTATTATTATTATTATTGTTATTATTAGTATTAATTATTATCTATTCAAATAAGAAGGGGATGAGAGACCATTTTGGAAGTGTCTTTCTAATAGCAGAGCTGGTTTCATTTTTTTCTGAAGGAACAGCTTCCCCTGAGGAAATGTGCAGTTAACAAAATCTAAAACTCTTGCAGGAGAAGATAAATTCTCTTCAATGTTTCAGGGGCACATTTTGCAACAGTCAAAAAATTTCCCTCCAATGGGTCAAAATGGTTGTTTTGCTGTCATCATTATGACTATTCTATTGCATTGTGCTGTGTGTTGCATTATAAAATGCAGATGCTAAAGTTTAAATGAACATGTCAGCCTTATTGAGATGAAAAGGCTCTGATTTTTCCAAAATGAAATTGTTTCTGGTGCACTGAGATTCAATATTGGGAGTAAAACAGAGAAAATGTCAGTGAACCACATATCTCCATGTATATTCTAGCCAAACTCTTTTAATCCTTTTTATCTCCTTTTTATTGTGTTCATAGAACAGGGAAAATGTCTCCCTTTTATTTCATGTTTGAGAGCACATCTGAAAACAGACAGTTATATCTGCAACAAATGGAAACTACATTACACACTACAGAGAGCAGGTTGTATCACTGTGAGAGGGAGCTTGTTACTCTGCTGACAGTAATAGTCTCCAGCATCATCAGCTTCGACACTGTTGATCGTGAGTGTAAAATCAGTGCCATATCCACTGCCGCTGAACCGGGCTGGGACCCCTGACTGCAGGCTGCTGGCATAGTAGATAAGAAGTTTGGGAGCTTGTCCAGGTTTCTGTTGGTACCAGTTTAGGCAAGTGCCAATGCTTGTGCTGGCTTTGCAGTTGATTGAGACTCTCTCTCCCACTGGCACTGAGAGAGATTCCGGGGTCTGAGTCAGCACAACTTGTCCAAGGCAGCCTGGATAGAGAGACAAGGAAAGTTGGGAATGAACAACAGTAGAATGCTGGATGGGACAAGGATTCAGACCGTGAAACACAGTTTGAATTTGCCAGTGTGACTGGATACGAACACACAATTAGAATATTCATTCAATAAATCCGGTGGCAGCATTTCTTACACTCTGTTACATGGATCCTCCCATGTTCTGAATTTCTTACCCTGAATCCAGAGCGCCAACAGCCAGAGAAGGGGTGTGTGTGAGCTCATTCTGCCAGAACGGGGTTGGAAAGGTGCGTTCATAAACCTGCAGTGTGAAATGAAATGCTGATCATTTATATGTGCCGAGCAGCAGAGTGAGAAAACCTCATCCCTATGCAAAATGCATGTAAATGTGCTGCCCTTTAGTTTCAGCACATAGCACATATTTATAGTTCGCTTTTTGCCTGCTCCTGTTGCATTTTGGAATATCATCATCATGCACATCTCTGCAGATCATGTTTCAGCTTCAGTGGCTGCAGGCATTTTGCACCTCTAGAATAATGGCTGTTCTGCCGATGCCTGCATCTTTGCTGATCTCAATTATCCCCTAGATCTGACACATCTCACCTACGCCAGACTGCACATAAGCCTTCATTTTGCTCTTTCTACATGAATACTTGAAGTATGTCATTCAAGGTCCTCGAAGGGTTCCTCACTCTTCTTAGACAAAGCAGTGATACTAAATAGCCCACCTCCTCATGAAAGAGTTCTCCACAACATCAGCCCTAAGGGGTGTTAATTAACTCAAAGCTGGAAGAACTAAAGGCTCTTTGGTGTCATTCACAGCAGTATAAGCCCCTGTACATCCCAAAACACTGAACACAAGCTGTGTGTATCCTGTGTCCACTTTTGGTCTTTTGTAAGGATGACTCCTTAATAAATCTGTTTCGGAGTCAACTATTATGATTGTCATCTATTATGCTTCATCCAAGGAAAAGCCGACTTTGATCATTTGCTGATAAAAGGCTTCTCTGCTGAATTTCATCAATAAAGAACACTGTAGGTCTGATCCTTGTTATTTCAGATGTGCTTAGTTTTTGTACTGGTCTGTATCACTGTGAGAGGGAGCTTGTTACTCTGCTGACAGTAATAGTCTCCAGCATCATCAGCTTCGACACTGTTGATCGTGAGTGTAAAATCAGTGCCATATCCACTGCCGCTGAACCGGGCTGGGACCCCTGACTGCAGGCTGCTGGCATAGTAGATAAGAAGTTTGGGAGCTTGTCCAGGTTTCTGTTGGTACCAGTTTAGGCAAGTGCCAATGCTTGTGCTGGCTTTGCAGTTGATTGAGACTCTCTCTCCCACTGGCACTGAGAGAGATTCCGGGGTCTGAGTCAGCACAACTTGTCCAAGGCAGCCTGGATAGAGAGACAAGGAAAGTTGGGAATGAACAACAGTAGAATGCTGGATGGGACAAGGATTCAGACCGTGAAACACAGTTTGAATTTGCCAGTGTGACTGGATACGAACACACAATTAGAATATTCATTCAATAAATCCGGTGGCAGCATTTCTTGTACTACAGTTCATGGATCCTCCCATTTTCAAATTCTTTGTTCTGAATTTCTTACCCTGAATCCAGAGCGCCAACAGCCAGAGAAGAGATGTGTGTGAGCTCATTCTGCCACAATGGAGTTGGAAAGGTGTGTTCATAAACCCGCAGCATGAAATGAAATGCTGATCATTTATATGTGCTGAGCAGCAGAGTGAGAGAACCTCATCCCTATGCAAAATGCATGTAAATGTGCTGCCCTTTAGTTTCAGCACATAGCACATGTTTATAGTTGGCTTTTTGCCTACTCCTGTTGCATTTTAGAATATCATAGTCATGGACATCGAGAGGGGAACATGCTCCGACATCTCTGAGGATCAATTTTGCACCTCTAGAATAATGGCTGGTCTGCAGATGCCTGCATCTTTGCTGATCTCACTGCTCCCCTAGATCTGACACATCTCACCTGTGCCATCCTTGTCTGGACACAAGCCTTCATTTTGCCTTTTCTACCTGAATACTTGAAGGATGTCACTCATTGAAGGTCCTTGAAGGCTGCCACATCCTTCTTTAAAAAAGCAATGATACTAAATTGCCTACCTCCTCATGAAAGTGTTTTCTACAACATCAGCCCTAAGAGGTGTTAATTAAATCAAAGCTCTAGAGACATAAGAACTAAAGGATCTTTGGTGTCATTCACAGCAGGGATAAGCCCCTGCACCTCCCAAAACACTGAACACAATCGGTGGGTGCCCTGTGTCCACTTTTGGTCTTTTGTAAGGATGACTCCTTAATAAATCTGTTTCGGAGACAAGTATTATGATTACTGTAATCTTATTCTTCATCCAAGGAAAAGCCAGCTGCCATCATTTGCTGATGAAAGGCTTGTCTGATGAATTTCAGCTATAAAGAACACTGTAGGTCTGATCCTTGCTATTTCAGATCTGCTTAAATTTTGTCAGGGAAGGTTTAAGCCTTAAAGAACCGAGGACTCCAGCTACTCGGGAGCTACCGTGGAATTTTTGTGGAAGAATGTGAACAAACTCTGCCCATGAACTGCATATTGGACTTCAATCTTTTAATCCCAGAAGGATTTTTACAAATCAACAAATTGACCATCTGTGCTACAAGACTGACCTAACAACTTTTCCTATATCTGTATGTGTACTTTTTTATTAATGAATCTTAGATTTAATTAATAAAGACTGACTGTAAGTGTGTATTTCGGTAAGATCTGAAACATTCATTGAGCTGGTGGGTAATATGTCCAATCTCTTGGGATAGGTAGAAATTTATATATGGTGAAAAAGATTTTTCATAATCCTCACTATCATAGACTTGATTGTCTGGGTGGGCACCAAAGGCTGGATTGCTTAAAGGGAACTTTATTTTGGTATCATGGCAACTAAGGTATTATAGCTAAAGTTTTATTACTGGCTTGGTGAAATCTAATTATAGAATCAATCACCAGTTTGGGCGATCATCTTCCCTATTGTTTGCAGTTTGTCCTCACTGAGAAGTATAACCCTCCAGCGACCACAGCCACAGTGGGCATGTGATTCTGCAGTTGTGTTGAGTGGTTCCCAATATTACAGCATACATACTGCACATGAATTGATGGAGAGGCTGGACTGAGTCTTTAGATTGAAGCAGGGAACTGCTGTTTTAAGTAAAACATGCATACGTGACACAAGGGGCAAATGTGTAGTTCGCACAGCACGCTATCAATCTGTGGAACTCATTTCCATGGGTTGTTGGAAGGCCAAAAATATAAGTGGGTTAAAAAAAGAATGAGAAGTTCATGGAGCACAGGTCCATCACTGACTATTAGCCAAGCCGGTCAGAAATGTAATCCCATGCTCTAGGTATCCCTATACCTCTGATTGCCAGAAACTGGAATTGGACAACAGTGTTTGTTCGTTCTTTCTGTTGGGGTCATTCTCTCTGAAGCACCTGGCATTGGCCATTGTCAGAAGATAGGATATTAGGCTAGATGGACCATTGGTCTGACCCAGACTGTCTGCTCCTACGTTCTTAGTAGGGCAATATTAAACGAACGCAATCCTTTCGATTGACTAAAATCTGTAGTCAAGCCCGTCTTTGACCACTAGATGGCAATAGAAAGAGCACTTCAGGAATGGAGATTTCAGTCCAACCCCACAATTTCACCGTTCAAAGGACTGCCCAACCCGGCGTGAGCACATCTCCCCAGGGAGTTCAGAGTCTGCTGCATCTCTTAACCATAGTGTGCATCTTCCCTTTTATGTTTCCTAGCTGTACATTTCAATATACTATTGATATTGTGACACCAATTTTCTACCACAGAAGCTGTCTTAGTCCAAACCCCACATGGAATGGAAATTTACGCTCCTGTGTGGTGTTCTGGGCACCCAGAAGAGCCATACTGGAATCCTGCGGAGGCACTATTGCATGAAAATTAGGTCTCCTAATCTCGGGCAGAATGTGTGTGGAACAGTCTGATCCGAGACCTTGAACATTCTTCTGTGGTTGCTTGGGAAGCCCAGGTCAGAAGCATGCCCAGACGAGCTAAGCATTCTTGACTGGGGCTGATGGGAGTCCTACAGATCTGGGGTGTGTCAGGAAGAGGACACCATCCCTGAGCTCTGATGGGCTGAGACAATTCCTTTTCACCATAAGAGGCTAAAATTCTAACTTTCCTAATTTCCATTGTAATCTCGCGATGGTACAGGCTGCTTCTAAAACAAAGCAAATACATTCATCGTATTTCTGTTTTTAAAACTTCCTGATATGAAATCTATATGCTGGAGCTTGATGAAATTGCATCCTGCATGTAACAGACTGAACTGAGAAGTTTCTTGCACATAGTGACGGTTGAACCACCATCAACACACACTTTCCCATTCATGTACGCCCACTGGGTCAGACCAAAAGTCCATTTATCCCAGGATCCAGTATTCAGACAGTGGCAAGTGCTGGTGTCCCAGAGGGAATGAACGGAACAGGTAATCATCAAGAGATACCACCCCTGTGACGCATTCGTAGCCTTTGACAAACAGGACTAGGGACACCATTCCTACCCACCCTGTCTAATAGCCTTTGATGGACCTATCCTCCATGAAATTATCTAGCTCTTTTATAAACCCTGTTAAAGTCCAGCTCTTCATAACCTCCACTGGCAAAGAGTTCTACAGGTTGACTCTGCTTGCTTGAAGAAGTACCTCCTACTAAACCCCTTGTTTTATTTCTTACCCTGAAATCAGAAAGCCATCAGCCAGAGAAGGAAAGTGTGTGAGATCATCTTGACAGAGTAAGATTGAAAATATTGCCCAATTATTCTTTAGGAAAACATTTATAATTGCTCAGCAGTTCAGCAAGGCAATGTATCCCATGTGTGAATATACAAAATACATGTAAATTTACTGCATTTTATGTAAATCTGTATATCTGCACCCATATCTCTTCAGTGACCCTAGACCCCAATCTCCTGACCCAGGTCACAACCCCCTCCCTCATCAAACTCCCTCTGACCTCATACCATCTCCTGCACCCCAGTGGTGAATAAATGTGACCTGAGTGGCAGTGGGTTTGTATCACAAAGGGGAGACAAGGAGATCCTCTCAGTGTGGGGCCTGTGTCAGGGAACGTTAAATGGCTTGATGGAAGGGGGGAGAGGTAGCTCTGAAAAAAACAAAAGCAAAAACCAGCCTACGATGGAAGGGGGGAGAGGTAGCTCTGAAAAAAACCAGAAAAGCAAAAACCAGCCAACAGGCCTGGCTAACCAGAGCAGCTGAGTCAGGGCTGCTATAAATCCATTATGGGCCTGATGAACTGAATTGAGGCTGCCACTGGACCTCTTTAAAAACCTTCCGTGTGGGGGAGGTAGAGGAGAGCGGAGAAGGAGTTTGGAGAGTGGAGGTGAAGAGGAAGGGGAAGGAACAACTGGTAAGGAGACTCAGAGGAGCTGAGTGGAACATCAGCGATCAGCGCTGGTGAGGGACTCTGGCAGGGGAGTGTCTGGAAGCTCCCTTCTCCCCAGGTGGCCGGAAACTTGAGCTGGTGGGTGAAGAGGGCTGTTTACTCAGCCCCAACTGGTCAAAGGCATCAGCTCCCAGCACCGCTTTGTTCTGCCAAGAGACAGAAGGCCAAATGCCGAGAAAAAGCAGGTGGGTCTTGTACTGTGGCCCCTAAACTGAGGGGCTATGTCTAGACTGGTATGATTTTCTGGAAATGCTTTTAATGGAAAAGTTTTTCATTAAAAGAATTTTTGGAAAAGCACGTCTAGATTGGCACGGACGCTTTTCCACAAAAGCACTTTTTGCGGAAAAGCATCTGTGCCAGTATAGACGCACTCTTCCGCAAAAAAGACCCGATCGCCATTTTCGCGATTGTGGCTTTTTTGCGGAAAACAAATCTCAACTGTCAACACTGGCCCTTTTGCGCAAAAGGGACTTTGCCTGAATGGGAGCAGCATCGTATTTCCGCAAGACGAACTGATTTCTTACCGTAGGAAGTCAGTGCTTTTGCGGAAATTCAAGTGGCCAGTGTAGACAGCTGGCAAGTTTTTCCAGAAAAGCGGCTGATTTTCCGGGGAAAAACTGGCCAGTCTAGACACAGCCTTCTAGAATAGGAGGGTATTAAGTCCATAATATTAGACCTCAGGTTTTGTCTTGTTTCCCTGCAAAAGTTATACATGATGCTCAGACAGTTAGGAGAGGGTAATCAACTCTTTCTGACATAGCTAGACTTCATAGTACCAAGATCCAAGTGCAACTCTCATTTCTTGGTCTGGTGTTGCAAGCAGATTACATCAATTTCAAGTGTGTTCGGCTCCGGCGTAGGGATGTGAAGGACTAATCACTCCCTCCCGCATCCCATTGCTGCCTCTATCAGAAAAAGATGGCAGGGGAAGAAGGGGAGAAGTGGGTATTTCAAAGCGTCAGTGTCCTGTGGAATCTGGGGCCAGAACCCGAGCTCCCCACAGCACTGCCGCTTTGAAACATCACTGTGGGAGCCCAGTGTCAGACTCCTCCCAATACTTCGAAGTAGCAGCCCCACGAGGAGCATGGGGTGAGCTGGGTGTGGAATCCCTGCTGATCCTGGACTCCATGCGGTGCTGCTGCTTTGAAACACTGCGATAGCTCAGATTCAGGCTCTTCATGGAGTTTCAAAGCG